ATAGGAGGTGTTGAAGAATAATTATCCCATAATGATCTAATTTCTTTGATATTGCAGCAATCTGTGAAACTAACATAGATATTGCATCAGAATCATGGATGCTAGCTACTCTTTTAGGATTTACCCGCTCAGAGGGCCATTGTAAATTGTTGGTAGCCATTTCTTCTATTAATGAATAAACCTCATCAAAAGGTTTTGACATTAAAGAACCACCAGCCGCAGCATCTATAATCGATCTATATTAACCAGTCTGGTAACGAATGATGAGGGCATTTCCTAAGAAGATCTTTAAATCTCTCCCAAGCTTCATATATTGACTCTCCATCAATCTGACAGAATGATGTTATGTCATTTCTTAGTTTAGCAGTTTTAGATGGAGGGAAAATATTTGGAAAGAAATTTCTGTGATAGTTCTCCTCAAGTTCTAATAGATCGAGGTGCTAAAGAGTTTAACCACAACTTAGCTTTATCCCTCAGTGAGAAAGGAAAAGTCTAAGTCTAATAGCATCATTTGAGACTCTATCATATTTAAAAGTAGCACATAGTTCTAAAAAACTAGCGAGGTGTAAGTTAGGATCTACATTTGGTGTACCTCCAAATTGATTGTTTTGTACCATTTGGATAATAGCAGGTTTAAGCTCAAATGAATTAGCAGCTACATCAGGATTTTGGATAGATAAGTGAATTTCATCTGCTGTAGGATTTGCATAATCTCTTAAGGGTCTAGGTTGGTGTTCATTCATAATGTTTTCCATTGTATCACAATTTCTAGGTTTTCTTTTTAATTTTCTAATTTTTCTAACAGTTCGTTCTAATTTTGAATCGTATGCTATAAGATTTTCAGGTCCAAATTTGCGCATGCAATTTAAAATTAATACTCAGTAATATATTTAAAAATATAAATATAAATATATAGATATATAGATACGTTGCAATTTAAGTAAAAACTTTTTAATAATTCTAATATGTCCATTACTCCTAAAATTCTCCCCGGCAACGTCGCCAAAAAATTGACCGACCTTTTTGTAAATGAACAATTACAAGAATTTGATGACGCTACTAGAAGATTAAATTTCAGCAACGATGTCAAAAACTTGACTACGACTTTATATATATATGTTTAATTTAATAAAGATGTATAGATATAATATTCAATAATGTTAAAGTCAAATTTGTCAATACAAGTATACGTATCGCTCAAGTAATATAGGGCTCTAATGGAGTCCTAGATATCGATCCCACAGGGAGAAATAGAATACTACGGACTAAGACCTTAGAAAA